TTGCACATCTGGAGCCTGTGCTCCGCAACGGGAGAGGCCACAACAGTGAGAGGCCAGTGTACCGCAAAAAAAAAAAAAAAAAAAAAAAAAGCAAAACCACAACTATCTGATAGTCAAACAAATCTCACATAAGTCAAGGCCCACATAAGATCCACCAAATCATCATGTGCATAAGAGGAATATTTTGAAGAACTTTTGATTATGGAAGAAAACAAACTGGTAATTTTGAGGGTTACAAGTGCGGTTATTTTTTAAATCAATTTTAGATAATAAGGGATATGAAATTCATACTTCAGGCTAGCAATAGTATCAACAGAACTTCTAGACATAAAAAAATTTAAATTAATTTTAATATGTTTCTAGAGAAGAGGTTCAAATACTTAGGTCTGTATCCATATGGTGTAAAAAGGTATGGACATACTATGGCTTAGAATTTCTAATTAAAAGGTCCTCAGAACCAAGTATGTGAGATCTGGGGGTGTATCCACTCCTCACTAGAGAGTACCTCCATAGCCCCATTTTCCTGAAGAAAGTCCCCCTCAGCTCCCATGTTGGCTGCAAAAGCCCTGGCAGGACTCCAGGCAGAAACCAACCGCTCCATCTGCCAGAATTACCTGAGCAACCTCATCACCATCAAATGTGGCCACCACTTGTGCCACTCTGCATCCAACAGTCCCGGGTGGATTTATAGGACAGGTTTCCTTGCTTGCCACCAATGCTAGGAGGGGCCCTTCTGGAGTAATGCCCAGCTGGACAGGATGACATGATGGTGAACACACAGCTTCACATCACCAGGAGCAAGAGGCGGGGGCAGAACAGATGAGCATATGCAGGAAAGATAGTCGAGTTCAGGCAATTTTCTGTGAGGAGAACCTAGAGGTGTTTGTCCCCTTGCACTCATCCCTGACCACCAGGGCCACCATGAGGTCCTGCCTCTCATCATAGGAAAAGGCTCAGCAGTGACCTAGAGCCCCTGAAGAAAGTGGCAGGTGTTCAGAAACAGCCACCCAAGAAAGAAAACTACTAGGATTGGGGGGGTGGAGGACGGAGGGAGGGGGAGAGAGAGGGAGTTGGAAAATCAGAGACAGAAATTACTCTCTGAATTTGAGCACCTGGACCAGTTTGTTGAATGTGAGCGAGAGGCCGTTGAAGGGAGTGGGATGCCACCCAAATATGCTGCGGCAATGGTATATTGATTATTTTCAGCTGCGGGCACTTGAAACACAGCAAATGCAGAGAGAGGCTTTCTCTGAACCCCCCTCATCGGCTAAAAGGAACGCAGTGTCATAAATCCCCTCCCTGGGAGTCTCATCAACCAGGGAAGGCTGACTGTTGTCACATGACGGGAGACTAGATGTCGACACTACATGCGGACAAACTTTGTCACCAACTCTCATACCTCCCATCCGTTCTTCAAAGGACCCATTCATCTCTCCTAAAGATCATATACTCCCCACCCCAAGAGGCCTATATCCCCTCTCCCCTTTCCCTATTAAGATAGTACTTAATCCTGAATTAGAAGCCACGACAGGCAGTTACTCATTTTCCCCTGAGTACCTCCAATGTATACATAAGGTATACGTGTGAATAAACTTCCATTTGTTTTTCTCCTGTTCATCTGTCTTTTATTACAGGAGTCTCAGCTAAGAGCTCAGAAGGGCAGAGGGAAAATTATTTATCCTCCCCTACATAGTTCTCAAGGTTAGCCGAGAAGGACATTTAATACAAACTCAATGCAGACACAGTAGCATTTTCAGACTACATCTCCACACGCAAAGATCTACTAAAGAAGCTGGCAGAGAAGAGTGTGATGTCAGAAGGGAAAGTGCTGCTGGATGTCGAGACCACCCATGACAGGTGTGAAAGCCTGAAGCACCCAGCTCTCTGTTCGTTCCATAAGGAAGGAGAGAGACGGCCTTCCTCTGCAGTATTTGGCACTGCAGAAAATTACACAGAAACTGAAAGTTACTCTGGATCTTGAAACAGCACATCCTAATCTCTCTGTCTCTGAGGATTAAAAAAAAATTGGGGACATTTGTGAAGAAAAAGCAGAGAGTTTATCCAGAGAGATTTATGGCTTATCCAGTAATCCTGGGTTCTGAAGGATTTGATTTCAGCTAGCATTACTGGGAGGTCCAGGTGGATGAGATGCCTGAATGGACCACGAGGTTTGTAAAAACTCCCCTTCCAGGAGAAAAAAGTGACCCCCATCAAAACAGAACAGATGGTGGATGATTCGGTGGCAGGATGGTGACTATGTCACATGAGGCATTGTTCCAGCCACTTTTCTGAAGCAAAAGCCCAGAAGAGAAGGAAGGACATTTATCTAGACTAGGAGTTCCATGAGATTTCATTTTGCCATCTGAATAACGTCTCACAGCCATTCTTTCACTGAGAAAATCTTCTGAAATACTAAGGCCTTATTTGTGTATCAGATATGATTTGAAATGTCTTACACTGTGTGAAGGAAGAGATTATGAGCGATAAACCACCCTAAAGGCTGTCACACTGCTTCATTTTCTTCCTGTAATTTATGAATAGGAGGCAGAATAATATCTAACTCTCAGTGAATCTAGCACTACCAATTTTTTTTCAGTGCTTCTAGGACTTAAACATATAAATGAAATCATATATACATGCTCTTTTCTATCTGGCTTCTTTCACTCAGAATAATTATTTTCAGATTTATCCACATTGCTGCATGAATCACTAGTTCACTCCTTTTCATTTCTGAGTAGCACATTATACATATATACCACGATTTGTTTATTCATTCACTCAGTGATAGGCATTTGGGCCATGAATTCTCTCTCCATGGGAGATATGAGTTGCTTTTTGGCCCATCTCTTGCCCTTGTAATTATTGACAATGACCCAAGAGATCAGCAGGTCAGTCTAAGCTCCTCTGCACAGATTGTAATGGAAATTGGACTATTCTTAGACGACACTGAAAACGTCAGAAAATGATCAGAACCCCAGAGAAACATGTGCAAAGACAGCAATACAATTCAAACACACACACACACACAAGAGATATCCAGGTAGCCTTTCAACAAATGAAAAGATGCTGCACTGGGATATCATTTCTTGCCCATCAGAGTTGTTCAGAAATTGACAAGACACATTTTTGGTGAGGCTGTGAGGAACAGGCATTCTCATTCATTGATGATGGAGTGCAAAATGCAAAGAAACTTGCAGGGACTTCCCCAGCAGTCCAGTGGTTAAGACTCCGCACTCCCAGTGCAGGGGGCATGGGTTCCATCCCTGGTTGGGGAACTAAAATCCCGCATGCCATACAGCGCAGCCGAAAAACAAAGAAACTTGCAAATGCCTAACAGGATGCATTTACTCTTCACCCAGCAGTCCGACTTCCCGGATATACCCTAAATATATACCTCCACAAATATGAAACAAATATTTACAATGTTATTCATCACAGAATTATTTGTAATAGCGAAACATTGAAACACAAATTTCTATTAAATTTGAGACAATGTGTGCATTTGAAACAATGAATTTGAAAAGAAATCCTTGATTCCATAGTGGTATACTAAAAAAGTTAATAATAATAATAACATATAGGGAGAAGTGATGGTTGTGGTGTAACTAAAAGTCTTTTTATGGAAGAGTATCAGCTAAAAAACATAGAAGTGGGACTTTCGGGGAGGGGGGACCTTCAAGATGGCGGAGAAGTAAGACGTGGAGATCACCTTCCTCCGCACAAATACATCAGAAATACATCTACATGTGGAACAACTCCTACAGAACACCTACTGAATGCTGGCAGAAGACCTCGGACTTCCCAAAAGGCAAGAAACTCCCCACGTACCTGGGTAGGGCAAAAGAAAAAAGAAAAAACAGAGACAAAAGAATAGGGAGGGGACCTGCACCAGTGGGAGGGAGCTGTGAAGGAGGAAAGGTTTCCACACACTAGGAAGCCCCCTTCTCGGGCGGAGACTGCGGGCGGCGGAGCGGGAAAGCTTCGGAGCAGCGGGGAAGAGCACAGCAACAGGGGTGCGGGGGGCAAAGCGGAGAGATTCCCGCAGAGGATCGGTGCTGACCAGCACTCAGCAGCCCGAGAGGCTTGTCTGCTCGCCCACCGGGACGGGCGGGGGCTGGGAGCTGAGGCTCGGGCTCCGGAGGTCGGAGAGGACTGGGGTTGGCTGCGTGAACACAGCCTGAAGGGGGCTGGTGCGCCACAGCTGGCCGGGAGGGAGTCTGGGAAAGTCTGGAGCTGCCGAAGAGGCAAGAAGACAATTGTTTCGGGGTACGTGAGGAGAGGGGATTCAGAGCACCGCCTACAAGAGCTCCAGAGATGGGAGGGAGGAAGAGAGCCGGCGGGGGGGGCGGGGGGAAAGACACTGAGAGAGAATGCAAATGCAGCAAAATGTTAGCACTTGGTGAATCTAAATGAAAGGCATACAGACACAGCTCGGAGATTTTGTCAGGTTCAGTTCCAGACCACCACAATAAAGCAATATTGCAATAAAGTGAATTACGAAAATTTTTTTGTTTCCCAGTGCATATAAAAATTATGTTTACACTATACTATAGTCTATTAAATGTGCGATAGCATTATGTATTAAAAAATAATGTACAACCTTAATTTTAAAATATTTTATTGCTAAAAAGTGCTAACCATCATTTGAGCCTTCAGCAAGTCGTAATCTTTTTGCAATAGTAACATCAAAGATCACTGACCACAAATCATCATAACAAATATAATAATAATAAAAATTTGAAATATTGCGATAATTACCTAAATATGACACAGAGACATAAAGTAAGCAAATGCTGTTAGAAAAACAGTGCTGGCAGACTTGCTCGATGTGCAATAAAGCAAAACATACTAAAACGAGGTATGCCTAACAGTAGTTCATTGTATTATTTCTTTAACTTTTTCACACATTCAAGAGGTTTCCAAAAATAAACTGGGAGAAAGAAATTTCCTATATTAGTAAAAGGAATAATTAAAGGCTACAGGAAAGTCTAAATTCACCAGTAATTTATATGTGGATGTTCCCACAAGTCTTTAACAATAGCATATTGTGTCAAAGAGTACAAGTTGAAAAACGTGGAACTTCAGGGTAGTCATGGCTTAAATCATTTTAATTACATAAAAAATACATGCTCATTTTAGAAAAACTAGAAAAAGCAGATACGAAAAAGATGAAAATAATATGTAATTTTACCTCCCAGAGATCATATGTCAGTATTTTGGTATAAACTCCTTCAGAATTATGTCTATTCATATACAGCCATATATAAATATATACTGTTTTTTGCAGAAATGTGATCATGCTGGATAGAATGTTTTATAACTTGCTTTTCACTCGATGTCTGGGAATATCTTTTCATATTGAGAAGTATATTTTTATGCCTATATTTTTAGTGGCTGCATAGTACTCTATCCTGTAGATGTATAAAACTTCACTCAACTAATATTTTACTCTAGAATATTTAAATGGTTTTCAGTTTTTCACTGTTACTATTATGGTACAGAAAAATGTATGTTTCATATTCCTTGTTTTCAAAAACAAAAGCTAAGTCCCATTGTTTAAAGTAAAAACAAAACAAAACAAAACAAAAACTAGAAGCCCTGTATTCTTTAATTCAATTCTGGCTAATAAAAATCATAACTGAATCTAGACTCTGCAGGCTTCTAATTAATGGCTGTTGGCAAGGAACCTCAGGTTGGTAAGAGACTGTTGACTTGAGTGCTGGAAGGTGTTGAAGTGCTGAGCTATGAAGGGTGGGTTAGAGACTACAAGCTACCTCCTAATACTCATTCTCCTCTTCTTACATAGAAATTGAATTTGTACTTAGGCACATAGCTACTCACCTAAAGATTCTATTTCCCAGTATCCCTTATAGGTAGGTATGATCGTTTTTAACTGAGTTCTAGCTGATGATGAATGTCAGTGAATGTAATGGCGCCACTTTCAGATGGTACTGTTAAAAAGAATGAGTGAGTATTACATTTTTCCTCATTCCTACTGTCTGGAATGCAGTTACAATGACAGGAACTGGAGCAGCTATTTTGGACCATGGGATGGAAACCACATGTCAAAGATAGTAAAGCAAGAAGTAGGATCCTTATTCCCTAATGATTATGGAACTACCATACTATCCCTGGACTATATACCTTGAGTTTTTATGTGAGGGAGAAGTCAACTATCTTATTCAAGCTCCTCTTTTTTATGGATCTCTACACTTCAGCAGCTCATCCTGTAGCACAATTAATACAGAACTGTATACTACCAGTTAGATAAAGATGAGGCTGGAAGTGTCTGCAAGACCTTTGATTTAGAGATACTAAGAATATAAAGCCATGGGGCTTCCCTGGTGGCGCAGTGGTTGAGAGTCCGCCTGCCGATGCAGGGGACATGGGTTCGTGCCCCAGTCCGGGAAGATTCCACGTGCCGTGGAGCGGCTGGGCCCATGAGCCATGGCCAATGAGCCTATGCATCCGGAGCCTGTGCTCCACAGCGGGAGAGGCCACAACAGTGAGAGGCCCACGTACCGCAAAAAAAAAAAAAAAAAAAAAAAAAAGAATATAAAGCCTAACCCATGTTGGGGTGAAGACCCTGTGGGTCAGAATTATACTCGTTCCACATTTTTCAGCATAAAAATGTCTTGGATAGTTTGTAAGGGAACTCTTCAGTTACCCAACTTCAGCGTTGAGTATTACCACCTATGAAACATAAGCTTTAATCTAAAGACTATGCATGTGTGCTAATTACTTATTAGTCATAAAAAATGTGGACTCTGGTATTCTCCCTGAAGATTTCACTGAATTAATTAATAGGTCCTTGTAATAGATTTAACAGATTCATTTCTTAAAAACAAAATAAGTGTGGAGTCTTCCTTTATGTTATGAAGCACTTTGTAGCAATATCTTTGTACAAATTCTGAATAATTTTTACATGATAACTTCCTAGAAATAAAAGTAACAGATCAAACAATATTTGTATTTTATAAATGTTGCCAAATTACTATCCAGAAATGCAGCAATTTGCATTGCTATGTTGTATGTAAGTTAAATCAGGGCAGTAAGTGTTGATGACATGGAGCTTCTGAGCCCATAACAATTTCTCTTTCAGGATTCTCTATGATCTTTACATAAAGACACTTGGACTTCTTGGATGATTGATCACACTTGCCAGCTTTGCACATGTAGAAGGCGCCCGTCAGGTTGGTTTCAATCACAGCATTCCACCCCTTTGAACTGATGTGTTCAGAAGGAGAGAAGAACTGGCCTCCTCCATTGTTTACTAAGAAACTAATCTGACCATAAAAGTCTAAGGCGGCTTTGACCAAATTATTCGCCTCAAGAAAAATATTAAAAGTGAACTGGTTACAGACAGAGAAAGACAAATACTGTATGATAGCACTTATATGTGGAATCTAAAAAATACAATGAATTAGTGAATATAACAAAAAATAAGCAGATTCACAGACATAGAGCCCAAACCAGTGGTTACCAATGTGGAGAGGGAAGCAGGGAGGGGCGATGAAGGGGTAGGAGATTACGAAGTACAAACTATTAGGTATAAAATAAGCTACAAGAATATATTATACAACATGGGGAATATGGCAAACATTTTATGATAATTATAAATGGAGTATAACCTTTAAAAATTGTGAATCACTACATTATACACCTGTAACATATAAATTGTACATCAACTGCACTTCAATAAATAAATAAATAAAATGTTCAAAGTGAACTGGTTAATAACCTAACTTGCTACTTGGACTTTATCACCTGCTTTAGGAGAGTAGCAGAGCTTGCAGTGTCTCACAGTGAATAGTAACTCTGAGAACCACAGTAAACGGAGAGGTAGTCACAATGAATAAACCTGAAAATCCTATATCAGTGAATAATTTACCAGTATCCGATACCCATAGATCATAAAGCTAAATTTGGAATTTTAATGACAAGAGTTATCCAAGGACCTGGATCACCCCTCCATTGTTTTAATTTGTAAGCTACCAACACAGAATGATGGATAGTGATGAAACAGACATTACGAAATGAGTTAAAGGGCAAAAGGCACAAAAAGTAAGTCACTAGATGAAACTGTCCTTGCTTAGCTTCCCTACATTTCTTCCCTTCCTTTCTTTATCCTGAGGCCACTCACTCAGTAGATCATTAGCTCAAGAATCTCCTTCACAGGCTCTGCTTCTAGTGAAGCTCATCTAAGATAGCTACTATGGGAAAACTTAAAGCACAGTCAGGTTTAGGGACAACTACTATAAATTAAAATGAATGAATAAGTAAGATAGATTTGCATTCCTCAAAAAACTAAAACTAGAGTTGCCATATGATCCAGAAATCCCACTCCTCCACTGCTGGCCATATACCCAGACAAAACTACAATTTGAAAAGATACATGCACCCCAATGTTCATGGCAACAGTATTACAATAGCAAGACACTGAAACAACCTGAATGTCCATCAACAGATGAATGGATAAAGACGTGATACACACACACACACACACACACACACACACACAATGGAATAATACTCAGCCATTAAAAAGAATGAAATAGGGGCTTCCCTGGTGGCGCAGTGGTTGAGAGTCCACCTGCTGATGCAGGGGACACGGGTTCATGCCCCGGTCCGGGAAGATCCCACATGCCGCGGAGCGGCTGGGCCCGTGAGCCATGGCCGCTGAGCCTGCGCGTCCGTACAAAGCCTGTGCTCCGCAATGGGAGAGGCCACAACAGTGAGAGGCCTGCGTACCGCCAAAATAAAAAAAAAAGAATGAAATAATGCCATTTGCAGCAACATGGATGGATCTAGAGATTATCATACTGAGTGAACTAAGTCAGAAAGAGAAAGACAAATACCATATGACATCACATATATGTGGAATCTAAAATAAAACACAAATCAATATATCTATGAAACAAAAACAGACTCACAGATATAGAGAAAAGACTTGTAGTTGCCAAGGCGGAGGGAAGGATTGGGAGTTTGGGATTAGCAGATGCAAGCTATTACATATAAAATGGATAAACAACAAGGTCCTACTGTATAGCACAGGGAACTATATTCAATATCCTGTGATAAACCATAATGGAAAAGAAAATGAAAAATAATATATATATGTATAACTGTCACTTTGCTGACGGCAGAAATTAAACACAACATCGTAAATCAACTATACTACAATAAAATTTTTTTAAAAAAAGATAGATTTACTTTACCTCCTTGTCATTACAGACACTGCATTTTATGGGAGTGACTTGAGCCTGGCTGGTAGAAGGCAGACTGGCCTTCAGTTCATCTGCAGCAGATTTTAACCTATCAGACTCACGGGATGCAATGACCCCATTAAACCCTGAGGAGACAACAGCCAAAGAACAACTAAATATGTTTTCACTGGTTGTCCAAGTTCTGAAAGTAATAATGTTTAGAAAATGTTTCATATGTTCTTGTAAAAACAGATGAATTAGGACTTCTGCATATGGTCAAGATGGAGTAATAGGAACTGAACTTACCCTCCAGCCCAAAACAACTAAAAAACTGAACAAAATATACGCAATAATGATTTCCAGGCACTGGATATCAAGTAGCATAGGCTAGTGATCCCAGAGAGTGAACACAAACAATGTGAGCCCTATTATTATTCCAGATTGCTGCTTAGAGAGAGTCTTCAGGCTGCAACATAGGGAGGAGGAACCCATTCAGAACCCAGCAGTCTCCTGGGTAGAAGAGATGAAGTTGGGAGTCCAGGGAGGCCAAGACAGCTAGATTACACAGGGCACAGAGAGAAAGGAGGTACACAGGGAGAGAACTCCAGAGATCTGCAGAGTTCCCTCAGATCTTCAGCTGAGCACTGATCAGTACATACGAGTAAGGAAACAATCTGAGGCTGGGGAAAGATTGTTCCCAAGCTCTACAAAGTTTCAAACTGTTTCCAAGTAACTTAATTGCATCACATAAAAAAGTTCAGCAATATTTATAAGAATAAAAAATAACTAGCCTGCAACAAGGTAAAATTCAAATGTCTGGCATCCAACAAAAAGCCACAAGGCATACGAAGGAGCAGGGAAATTCAACCCAGAATGAGGAGAAAAGCAAATGAATAAAAACAGGCCCAGGAATGGCACTGATGACATAATTAAATAAACCAATGATAAAGAGAAAAATATTAAAAGCAGCCAGAGAAAAAGAACACAAAAAAGACAAGGAAGACAGAAGACTTCTTTTCAGAAACAATGCAAGCCAGAAGATAGTGGAATATCTTGAAAGTACTGGGGATGCAGGTGGCGGTGGGAGTTTTGGAACCTAGAACTCTGACCCAGTGAAAATAGCTTTCAAAAGTAATGGCAGGGCTTCCCTGGTGGCACAGTGGTTGGGAGTCTGCCTGCCGATGCAGGGGACACGGGTTCGCGCCCCAGTCCGAGAAGATCCCACATGCCGCGGAGCGGCTGGGCCCGTGAGCCATGGCCGCTGAGCCTGCGCGTCCGGAGCCTGTGCTCCACAGCAGGAGAGGCCACAACAGTGAGAGGCCCACGTACCGCAAAAAAAAAAAAAAAGTAATGGCAAATTAAAGACTTATTCACACATATGATATCCAGAAGAATTCATTAAAGTAGACCTGCACTACAAAAAGATTAAAGGAAGGCCTTCAAACAGAAGGACAATGATACCAGATGAAAATCTAAATTTACAAAAGAAGAAAGAGAACTGGAAATGGTAATTATGTGAGTAAATAAAGTAAATATGAAGTCTTTTCTTATTTCTATTCAATCTCTCTAAAAGGTAGTGATTGTTTAAAGGAAAAATGATATCAGTGTATTGTAGGCTTTATAATATATGTAGAAATAAAATGTATGAGCATTTAATAGTTACACAATGTCCAGGAAGGGTGAAATAGAAGTATCCACAGTCCTTGTTTTGCTCAGCTCTAATACACGCTAATTTCAGTTACCTTAGTTTAAATAACACCAGACCCCCAACAACACTGTTCAAATTCCAGTTACCATGGCAGATTAACTGTGAGTAATTGCATAAAATATAAACTGTACCGCCAGTACAAATCCACAAATCAGCATGCGAATAACAGATGCACATCACGGTCAGTGACTAATTGTTTCACTTCTTTCACTGTCTGTAAGTGATTGGCCACTGTGCATCTGTTCTTCAATTCGTGTACAGACGGCAAAGAATGCAGTTGTGTTGCCTCCTTGTCTCCCAATTATAAACCCGTGTGACATTTTACAAAAACCGATGACTGAAGGAGAGACTGGCCAACAAAGACGAAAGTGCAACAAAGAAATAAAAATTGGTAACACTGAAAGTGAAATTAGAATTATACATAAATGGAGTTATAAAAGGAAGAGCTACCCATGGGAATGCTGACACTCCACCAGTGCTTTCCTTAAGTAAAAATATTAAGCTATGAGACACTGGACTATTCATTTATCTTACTAAGTAATCCTGAACCTTATTGCTCATTGTTGCCTTATATGTTAGTTTATCCTAAAGAGAATGCTTCCTTCTTTTCATGTACAAATATAAAAAGCAGAAATACGTGCCAAGACGGCCTTGAAACAGAGAGAGGGAAGAGCCTCACCACCTCTGGGAAGCCCAGATGTATATGGCAGGTTTAAAGCGAACTATATTGATACTCACAACTATGTTGACGACCCTCCTCCCTCTCCCTCACTGAGCCCAGATTGGCAGCTCCTTCTACATGCTGCCATATCCCTGACCTCATTCTAGTACAGCATTTAAACCAGTATTGTATGATAATTAAGTCTCCCCCCACTCACTATCATCTCCTGGAGGACTGGGACCCTGTCATTGTAATTATTACACTCACAAACAGTCCACATTCAATAGTCACGTATGGAATAAATGACACTTAGAAAGGTAAAGAGTAAAATGGCTCTCTGACCACAACCTTTCTAGTCGTACATGATGAGGTAGCTTCTGCATATTAAAATAAGGCACTTTAAAAAACTATTTTTCAAGATCAGGTTATAAATTAGTGAGTTACAAATGCAGACAACTTTTGGAAATTCTGATAGGCAATCTGAGAGCTTTATAAAGCAAATATTAAAAAGATTCACCATGAATTCCTTGCAAGACAAGACTAACTTTAAAATAGAATTCAATTGATCAAAATTGATGTATAGGACTTTCCTGGTGGTGCAGTGGTTAAGACTCCACCTGCCAATGCAGGGGACACAGGTTCAAGCCCTGGTCCGGGAAGATTCCACATGCTGTGGAGCAACTAAGCCCATGCGCCACAACTACTGAGCCTGAGCTCTAGAGCCCGTGAGCCACAACTACTGAACTGGTGTGCCACAACTACTGAGGCCCACGTGCCTAGAGCCCGTGCTCCGCACAAGAGAAGCCACCACAATGAGGAGCCCACGCACCTCAACAAAGAGTAGCCCCTGCTCGCCGCAACTAAAGAAGCGCGCAGCAACGAAGACCCAACGCAGCCAAAAATAAATAAATAAATAAATAAATAAATTTTTAAAAATTGATGTATAATTTTCAACAAAGCATATATTATACTGTTAGGAGAACCGTTATTCCTTTCTTCTTCTGTCTCCATGAGGAAGCTCCTACTCCCAGGAGGGGTAAGAATTGAAATACACATTTCTAGCCCAGGTCCAGCCCTCAGCCAGGTTTCCCTGAATTAGGAGGAATAGCTAATCTGATTAATAAAAAGGAAAGGAGAAGCAAGTTCCCCTGGATTAGCCACTGCCTGTGCCCATCACCTTCTTTTCTTTGATCTTTCTGCCTTAAAGATGGGCATTAACTGCTCTAGTTCCCAGAGCAGAGCACAGGCTGACAAGGCATGGAAATCTGACATCGACAACTCTTCCTAAACCCACATTAAGAAGTTAAGCCTCATTAAAAAAAAAAAAAAAAAAAAAAAAAATCCTCAAGAATACTAAGGTGATTAATGCCTGACTTTGTCCAAGGCGTCAAATAAGAGCTATAATGAAAATATAAATAGGATTATTCACAGGAATTATCTAATTGGAAGCTTACTAAATTATCACTAATTACTATCTGAACCCTGAAGGCTTCAGGAAAGTTATCTGATATTAGCAGAGCTATACTGGGACACAACTTTAAAAGGCTATTTATTTTAACTGCTATATAAACTTGAACCAGGGGGCAAAGGTATTACAAGGCGGAATGCTGCAGTGCTGGGTAGAACCAGAAACCTAAATTTCCATTAAAGGAATGGTTACATAAATTATTACACATCCATACAATAGAACACTATATAACTTTGAGAAGAATGATGTACTACTATATGCACTAGCATGGAAAGAAAAAATTACAGAGCAGTAAGAATACTACAGTCACAGTTTTGTAAATAACAAAATACACACAAGTGTATATGTGTGCATGTGGGTGACTCATAGAAAATCACCAGGAAAGGGATTTAGGAGATGGGCAGAATGGGAAAGCTCATTTTTTTTCTTTTATGTACTTCCATACTACCTGAATTTATTGCAATGCTCTTATTTTATAATAAACTAGAAAATTATTAGATGATATCCTTCTCCTCGCCCTTATGCTAAATGTTTGGATGGACTTTTTTTGTTGTTTATATGAGTTGCTAGAGAAATTCAGAAAGCTTGATGAACTTACTTAGAACAAGGTACAGAAGTAACTAGCAAATAATGAGTTATTTCCACATCAGAGGCCTTTGTAGCCAAATGTGGTGCTTTTCCCCTTGGGCTGATATTGATTCCTTTCAACCTTCAACTCAGAGTGCTACATTTAAGCACCTTCTAGGTCCCTGGTGTCGATAAGAGCCTAGTCACCAGAGCGAGAAAGAGTGCTGCTGTCTTGGCCTCACAATTTCCACTTGGAATTCCTACTTTCATTTCACCCACTGTCAACAGAAAGAGAATGACTAACTTGAGGACAGAGACAAGGATCTAGCTTGAATTCAATGTGAATGGTCTTAGGTTCAATATTCTTTGATGGAATCAGGACTCCTCTGTTCTAAGAGCATCTGTCAAATAGAGGAAGAGGGTTTCAATTCTGTTGGCTACATCCTGCCCTTGTGAGCTAGGGCTTTCAGCATCCTCTCAGAAAAGGGACAGTCAAAATCATTTGGATGTGAAAGGCAACACAATAATCACTTTAAAAAGCATGTCTTGGGGCTTCCCTGGTGGCGCAGTGGTTAAGAATCCGCCTGCCAAGGCAGGGGACACGGGTTCGAGCCCTGGTCTGGGAAGATCCCACATGCCGCAGAGCAACTAAGCCTGTGCATCACAGCAACGGAGCTTGCACTCTAGAGCCCGCGAGCCACAACTACTGAGCCCACGCACCACAACTACTGAAGCCCACATGCCTAGAGCCCATGCTCCGCAACAAGAGAAGCCACCGCAATGAGAAGACCGCGCACCACAGCGCGCCAAGAGTAGCCCCCCTCGCCACCACTAGAGAAAGCCTGCGCGCAGTAACGAAGACCCAACGCAGCCAAAAATAAATAAATTTATTTTTAAAAAGCATGCCTCAAAATCCATCTTGTAATTCACACCAAAAAAATAGGAGCCTTCTCACTGGAAATTGAATTGGCCAACATTTTATTTTATTTGCCCAATTTAGGTTTCTATAACAATTTTTAGGAAACAGCCATTAATCCTGGCATAAAAAAATAAAGCTGAGCAAGTCAGAGTAAAAATTATTTGTATACTCTTTCACTGAAGGAAATGCATTTCCAATACATTACTTTTCTTTTCAAGTACATTGGAAGGTTGAACCAGGATCTTACCAATCTGCTGTGAAGCCTGGTATCTGACCTTCACAGAAAATGATAACCGATTCTACTTTTCTAATGGATTTTCCTGAACAGGGTTAGAGTTTTGGTGTTGGAAGTAAAGTGGGTAGTAATGGTGATGAAGCTACACCAGGGTCAGGTTAAGAAATGTTAATTTTCTTTTTTTTTTCTTATTAAGATGTATTTTTTCCTTTTTTTCAACATACTTTTTTTAAGTTCATACGCTGTGCCGGGCATTAGAAACACAATGGTAAGCAAAGACAACTTACATGTTCATTAAAAAAATTTGAAAAATGAGTACAGTTTAACCACTCATCATTCAAATCATTTCCAGAAAAAGTAGTTGCTGATAACAATATTACAAACTTCTTTTCAGTCTTCTTCTGCATATATATTTTTCATTAACAATTAAATTGGAATGCTATATTTTGTTCAGAATCCTGATTTTTTTCAATTATATGGTATGCATTTGACAACAAAATCTTCAATAGCAAGATGTTTAAATAGCAGCATATTTCATTGTTACTGATTTAGTCATTTCCCTTATCATGTTTCACTATTCAACACTACATTCTTGTACACAAATCCGTGCTTGTCCCTGATTATTTCCGAAGAGTAAATTCCTGAGAGAGGAATTTCTAGGTCATACAGCACAAATACTAATACTTTTGGATTTTTTTTCCCAAACTGACCTCTAGAAAGCTTGTAATAATTTACATTCTTGCCTGCCTTCTCACTTCCTCATCAACACTTTCATTTTCCCCAATGTTTTAAAAGTCTGTTAAAAAACCAATGGCACCTTTTTATTGCTATATTTGCATTGCCAAAAAAGTTGACTATTTTTTCATATACTTACTGCTTTTTTTTTAGTTCTTGATTTAAAATGCGTGGCCCATATCAGAAGCCTATCTTTCTTTCAGTTGTTAGAACTTTTCCTTATTTATTTATGAGATCTCTTTATATAATAAATTTGTTGTACATTGTAAATGTTTTTCTTCATGTTCCTTCAAACTTTATTCACATATATTTTTTAATTCAATGAGGATATACACCTTCATATTTATCTATTTTCCCTTTCGTGGGTTATTTCCTTGTTTATTGCTTATAAAGTCCTCCCTTCACCCAAGTTAAGGTAAATATTACAAGAGATTCGAGAAGATTATATGATGGCAGACTTTTACCTTTTCCAGTTAAATGAAGTCTTCCCATGTTTCCTAATCATTCATTAGGCAATAAATAGAATGAATTTATTTATTTATTTATTTATTTATTTATTTGGCCCAGCAGCACGGCTTGTGGGATCTTAGTTCCCCGCCCAGGGATCCAGCCCAGGCCCACCGGCAGGAAAGCCCTGAGTCCTAACCACTAGATCGCCAGGGAATTCCCTAGAAAGAATTAATTTTAAATTCACATCCATAATTAGTTCCATAGCATGATTCCACACGTCTCCTTAATCCCCACCTCGGACACAGTATCTTTGGCTCTAAATTTTCCCTTTAGTTTACAAATAGTGGTTCATCATCCACCGCTTCTCCACAACTTTTCTTAGAACTCTCCTCTCTCCACTCTCGCTCGCGGTTTAAATTTCACCCACAGCTACACTTCCTTTGCTTTGCAACTTCACGCTCTCCTAAGCCCGCCTCTGGCACCCTGGCTCCCGACCCCAGGTTCCGCCAGCTTCTAAGGATCCCTCGCTCTGAGTACCCTAGCCCAGGGGCCTGTTCACGCACCTAGATGCAGGAGCTCGGTCGCGATGCCCTTTCCGATGCCAATACCCTGGCCGGTGACGATGGCCACTTGGTGCTGCATCAAGCCTGCTGCCAGGCAAACTCACGGCCACGGGACATTTGAGTGATGAAGTGTAGGCCAGGTTAAGTCAATGGGTTCACGCCGCCTTATAAATATGCCGGACATAGGGCTCACGCTGACGTGACCGCCCGGGCCCCGCCCCTCCCCGCCC